TTATTCCTTGTTATGTCTTGATAAGTCGGGCGTCTCGAACAATGCATATTTCATTTAGTTTAACTAAAATAAAAGCCATGATAATATAGAAACAAACAACAAAATAGACCTTTTTTCATATTATGATGATTAAGGCCTTGAATTTACTAGTTTAATATTATTTATCTTTAAAATTTGTCATAAATATTATAATACAATACATAACTCTTTGACGCAAACCTTTTGTTTTACAATTATTTAAATTTAATATTTTATTAAAATTATCTGAGCATATAACCCTAGTTTTTGCTGGTTGCCAGAAATCTCCACGACTTCTTATGACGTCCACTCACCGACTTTTCATTATGGAATCATTAGGTAGTCCGTAAATAGTGAACTTTACAAAAACAAAAAACTAGCAACCTCCAACGGTTTCTTTGTCATATCTCGGCAGTTAGACAAAAATAAATTCATATATATTTTTAATTATGTAGCAGTGGAAAACTGCTACAAAATCCGTTTTAGGTTGCCTTGAAGTTATAATTTCCAATTTCAGGGGAGAAGGCGCGTTTTTGGAGTTTACTCCTTAAGAATCGATTTGCGTAAATAAGGGGCCCGGTATGAGAAAAATGTGAGGAGTAAAATCTATCGATGAATGACATAAATGACCTCGTTACGTTTTTGTGCGCAACCTCATCTGCGCACCTTTCACTTTTAGCCATGGCCATGGCAACGAATAATAAACATTTAGTTGTCACAAATGTTAATAAAATAAATAACCTAAAAATAGATAAAATCGGAGCAAAATTAACGAAAACAAATAAATAACAGAATATAGAGAAATGCCGGTAAGTGTCCAGCACTCTGGAATAGTGATTTTCAGTACAGATGAAATTATAATACATATTTACAAAATGATGACTAGTGTGTGATATTTTTGAAATTGTGTGTTTCCAGAAATACATAATAAAATATATGATGAATATCGATGATGTTAGATGATAAAATGTGTGACCTGGCCCTATGATAGTCGAAACCATGGGACGATTCCTAAGGTATCTCTACTTGTAACCGACTTCTTCGGACTTGATTTTGTTTTGTGTCTGTTCAAAGACAATTGTTTTTAGAGTGTAAACTCCGGTCGTGCGTCGGAGCTGATACACACAATTTTTTTTTACGGTTTTAGATCTTTATTCTCATAAAAAATTACAAAATTCACTTACCATGAGAACATAAAATATTTTAAATTACATTTTGGTTAAATACGGAGATACATTGGAGTCGGGGGTAGAACTGAAAACAGTGTCACTGCTCATTGATTACGTTCGGGCATAGATGGCTCGGTTAACAAATGAAAAAAAAAAAAAACTTTGATCACAGTTATAGCTCAGCGTCGTACTAGAAGTGGCTTGAGTTGCTTGTGTTAGGAGTTTAGTTTGTAAATAATTTATATTTATTATATTGGTAATTCAACGCCGCTCATCATCTTTTATTTGATGCATGTAAATTATCACGAAAAAACCGAAGCAGTGATATATATATATACATATTTTATAACACTTTTTCGTCTATTTTTATTCTGATGAGTTTGATATTTAACTTTAACATTAACTTTATTTATGACTTGTATTGTATATTCATATTTTTTTACAGTTTATTATTTTTATGCTGTTTTATTTGAGATAGTTAAATTTATAATTTTATACGGAGAAATACATATTATATAGATATATAGACATATCGAGAAATATATTTTTAGTTTTATCTGTTACAAGGTGTTATAATTATTAATAATATATAATTATTAATATATTTTTAAATAAAGTCGCGTACTCAATTATGTTACAGATTTTTGCACATAATATCTAAGTCGCTTTTTAAAGCCTAAAATTGTTTGTGATTCTTTTATGTCTTTAGGAAGTTTATTATATAATACAGCTCCTTCACACAAAAGGCTTTTTTTACTATAGTTAGTTCTTGGTGCACGTAAAATAAGGTCATTGGCATTTCTTAGCTTAATTTTTTGGATTTGTCTCTTTTTAGTGAAGCTCATTTGAGTGTGAATATCCTTTGTTAATATTTTACGAATTAATAAACATGTAAAATAAACATACAACTGTCTAATATTTAGCAGTTTCGTTTTCTCGTACAATTTATTAGTTGGCGTGAGATAATCATAATAAAAGAGCACTTTTATAATTTTATTTTGGGCTCGTTGGACTGGGTCCAAGTTACTCTTTGCAGCAGCACCCCAGACCTCAATCAGATAATCTATGTGTGGTTTCACGAGGGAATTGTATATAAGGTAACGCATCTTATATGGAAAACATCGTGTTATTCCTCGAAGAGTACCAGTTATAGTGGATAACTTTGATTTAATTTTCTCTATGTGCGGTTTCCATGACAGATTGCTATCAAGAAGCAGGCCGAAGTACTTTTCACAATTCGAACTTTTAAGTTTTTGGTTATTTATGCTTAGTGGTTTAAAATCTGGTATTTTTTTGTTTTTAGCTTTAAATATAATGTAGTTAGTTTTAGATATATTGATAGTCAGTAGATTACATTGTAACCAATGATGCAATGCGTCAAGATCATTTTGAGCGTCTTCAATAATAGTATTTATTGACCTTCCGAAGTAAAATAAACTTGTGTCATCGGCATATAAAGTTACGTCTCCTCTTAAGCCTATTTCACTTATGCTGTTTATGTAAATCAGAAATAACAAGGGACCCAAAATCGAGCCCTGGGGCACGCCGTATGTTACAGGTTTTTGCTGGCTCTGGAAATTACCGATTTTAACTACCTGAATGCGATTTGTTAAGTAGGATTTTATCATTGCGTATGCGACACCCGTGATGCCAATCTGTTCCAACTTTTTCAAAAGCAGATCATGACTCACGGTATCGAACGTTTTTTTTAGGTCTATGAATATGCCTAACACGATATGCTTTTCATCAATCTTAGTTTTTATTTTAGTGGTCAAATCTACAGTTGCTGATAAGGTGTTCGATTGGCGCCTAAAACCGTACTGCTTGTTATAAAGGAATTGAATCGAGGTCAGAAAAGTTTCAAGACGGTTGTATAAAATTTTCTCAAACACCTTAGAGAGTACTGAGAGAACTGAAATTGGTCGGTAATCGCCAGGGTTGGATTTATTTCCAGATTTGTGTATAGGAGTGACTTTCGCTATTTTGAGACTACAGGGGAAGATACCAATTTCAAGACACTTATTAATACATTTTGTGAGCTCAGGGGCAATAAGCTTCTTGACACACTTAATAGATTTGGTGTTTATGCCATCTATACCTGACGCTATTTTTAAGTTTAGATTAGCGATGATCTTGGTAACCTCTTCCTCAGTCGTAGGTGTTAGTTGCGAATTTTTTTTTCTATTGATTATTACTTTAGTTCTAAAAATTAAATATAATTGTGGTACAAAATATAGTCGTAGAATATAAACAAAACAGAGTAGGTACTATTAAAAATTACATTACTGAAAATTTACCTTGTCCAATAATAATCGGTTAATATTTGGTGTGGATTATGAACCACTTTATCCAAAGTGGTACAACCTATCCAGGTTTTCCTTCAAAATAATGAAATCAATGATCAATAGGTGAAAAAAGCGAGTGTGCTTATGACCACACGACTGAAGTTTTCTTTTCACTGAAGTTTTTGTCATCATGACAAAAATAATTTTTTTGCCTATGTATGAATTGATATGGATAGATGAAACCGGCGAGTTTTTGAACTCCACAACTTTCACAAAACAGTGAGGTGACGATATCAACACTAAAGGTTGTGTAACAGTGACTTTGTTGGTTGTTTTTATGCATCCTTTATAATTTCGGCAAACTTTTATCGCGTATCTCGGCATTTCAAAGCAATAATTTTAACACGAAACTCTGTAATTGACGTGATTATCGCTCAGCGTTACATTTAACTTAGTCAACAGTTGGCTATGTCTTTTCAACATCATCTGCGCTGCCACGCTCTATCTCTATCTACTTCGATCAACAATACTATAGGTCAGCGCGTAAAATCCGTCACGGTAAATATAGCCTCACTTTAGGCGTGAGATCTTATTTTCATTTAGTTCTGTAAATACCTTAGACCATTAAACCACAAATACACAGCCAATGTAAACACGCGTCACGAAGACACAATTTACATTTAAAGTTGCAAAAATAACTACCAAATAAGCTATGTTTCTGTCGGAGTATCTTCCTTTCAGTAAGTACATGTAAAATTAATACTACATCTATTTTATGCTTTACACTAATAAGTAATGTCATATTACTAATAGAATCACAATATTCATACAGCCGCTAAGAATATTTGACATCATTGGTCTAATATTTTTTCCAACTTTCTTCCAACAACCATTTCGCAGTGACTAAAAGAATCTATGTAAAAACGAAGTAACTCGCTGGCCAATGACTGGTAAAAATACTTTATTTTGTGGGTCTTAAAGGTTGATTTCACATTTTCCTTCTTTCACCTTTGTCGTCTTTTTCCAAGAATCAGATATAGGTAATTTATCGTCTTGTTCGTTTTATAAAAGTTCCTATGTACGAAATAACACTTTCTTATTTGTAATTTTATTCCTTTGTGACATTGATGTTATAAGGTTTAACTAAATCTGTTTCAAAACATTTGTCTTTGTTCATTGAAAATCGAATGTAGCACATGTGGACAGTTTTTAGCTTTGATTTTGTTTGCAACCCGTTTTCTATAGAATTGTTGATCGAAGATCTAGGAGTAAATATAAGAGAGAGAGACATACATATTCTGTGTAAAATAATAACCTACCTAAATAAAATTATATTTTAAAATACATGTCCACTTGAGATATGTATTGAAATGCTGATTAGGGTAACTTACCAAGAAAGCTACCTTGAATTTCGTATATGTATAGTACGAGGCTGTACGAACTAAGAATCCTTTGCTTTCCCTAAAAGAGTGAGTGACATTGACAGATACTAATTTGTTTATTTACCATAAAATCCTTCATTGGGTCGGTATATTTTATTTCTCATTCTATGAAATAAATCTTCCAAAAATAGCGATTGAATTATAATTCTATTTTCAATTAAGTGATGTACTAAATAGTGTCTTGTAGGACTAATTACCACAACACAAGGACAAGACTCGATATTGGTCCAGTGGAATTGATTAGAACAATTACTTGAAAATGAACATTTTGTATAAAAAAAACCTAGTGAAACGATTTTTGAAATTACAACGCAGGCACTCATCATTAAATAGTCAAAAAAAAGAGCCCAAACTGGCAACTGATGTTATCAACTATTTAGAAAATACACCTGAATATAATGGTATAAAAGGAATTCTGCCTAAAACATTATTAAGAAAGTATAAATCTCCAGAGAACATGTATTTGATAAACAGAAAGACTGCAGAGAAAATTTCAAACAATGTGAAAAACTACATAATGCCAGAGGATCCTGTTATTGAAGTTAACCCAGGAATGGGTTTTCTGAGTGAAATGTTACTTAAGAGTATAAATAATAAATTATACATCTATGAAACATCTAATCATTTCTCGACTCATCTCTATGTGAGTTAATGAAATTGTCTGTTAAAAGTAAATTTTTATTGCTTAAGGTGTACAGAATATAAACTAATAAATTGTATGATTTTAAAAATTTTAGGAATTAAGAGATCAATATCCTGATAGAGTTACACATAAAGTTGCAGATTTCTTTGGAATGTGGAAGTTGGCCTTTCAAGATAAAATTGATAATGGCAATAGAATAAAAGATCTACTTGGAGAACTTTGTACAGATGATAATAGTGAGTTACAACTTGCATGATATTTTTAAGATCTGCTCATGATCTGACTTGATATTTGTGCACTTTGGGCCTAATTCTGGCATGATTCTCTAAACCTAAAACTAATTTTGAAATAATAGTCTTCTTTTCCCTCGATTTATAGCATGCAAGGATACACTATAGTCAAATTAAATTTTAAGTTTAGAGAATTATTGTGCCCAAATCGGTTCCTTAGTCAATAATAACATTTTTAATTCAAATAATTTGAAAAGTGTCAATTAAACAAATATAATTATAGTCTTTAACATATTATAATTATTTTATGAATGTTTTTTATTTCAGATCGAACTGTTAAAATAATTGGGGCAATGCCAGGTTTAAACTTTATCAAACATTTAGTTAATAATATTGTATTTCACAACACAAACAACCAGCTGGGGAAACCAGATCTTTTCATCATCATGCCAGGATATAACTATGAGGTAGAACTATTTCTTATAAAAAAATAGAAAATGAAAATAATGAAGATTATTATGGCACAGTATAAATTAACAAAAGCAGTACTAAAACTAGGCCTTTTTATTGAGATAAATACCTTCACCATGTGTCATTAAGTCGTGTACTTTACCTAATGTAAATTTTTAACTTCATTCCAACTCTAGTTAGAATGAAGTTAAAAATTGACATTGCTCTAGCATGAATCTCGGAACGCGAGATCCGATATTACGATTATGAGTGATCAGAATCATGAAAATTTTATTTGAGCTTTCAAATGCATGTATTAGGTATGGCATAACCTAATAAATAAATTCGTACCCATATTTTCGACTCCTATAGATGATAACTTCACTATCTGATAATACAAATGACATTGATTTTTATATCTGCAAGGCATGTCTACACTGCGTTAGACATTAGAAAGAAAGAAATTGTTTTACTGATTGATCAACTAAAAATTCAATTCCTATCTCATGGATACCCAACAGCTATTGGGTTATGTCAGACTCTTACTGACTAAAAAACACCCGAAAGGGCTGCCTCTGGCCAGGAGGGCCTTTAAGACTTCATTGGATGCGATCGTCCCGTGAGAATGGGACAATCGATACAGGCAGGGAGCCCGTAAAATCTCGGAAATGTAAAGTGGTATAAGATTCTCGCAGTTATATATAATTTTGGTAATACTGCGCTAATTTGCGTCAAATAAAAACTGGTAACACGTGCGTAGTCCCAAGCTTTGATGTTAGATATATTTTAGTGTAGCACTGCAACACTTGTTTACTCCATTGTATCAAAATGTTCATCATTTTTAATTTAATCATTATTCAGTTTCTTACAGATCACCAAATCCAAACAGGCAAGCACAAATCAATGCCATCCCTTTTTCAACTGTTTTTTGATTACAAAATATTAACCAGTGTACCAAAAGTACATTTTCTGCCATGGACTTATCCACCAAATAATAAAAAACTGTCTGTGGTGAGTATAAAAATTTAAAGCAACTAATAGAAACATAAATAACATAACTTACCTATGTAGATTAAGTCCGAAGCTCAATTAGCAACCAAAGATTTCGAAGATGCGACAATACTTTACGCCGGAACCATAGCTGTCATATTATTGGCTTGATAGGCAGCTCAGGCGAGGCTGTGGTCCAGGGACAAGAGAGGGGCCTCCACTATTCAACTTACAGCCGGACTACTTATTTAGGGTTCCGTACCCAAAGGGTTCAGGAAATCGTTATCGACAAAATTTGCGTTACGTAATACTTGAACGCCCTCAAGGTACCTAGTAAAAATGTCCATAGAAAATGTATTTTAATAAAAATATGATAATATTTTAAATCAGATTTACCCTATCGTTAAATAGTTCAGTATTTGTTTGAGAGTTCTTCATTACGCGCCGGGCAGGTGGCCAGTCCACACTTGTATATGCCACCCGCCCGCGCTTTCTCAGTACGCTGCACGCACGGTCCAGTTATTCCCAAAAAGCGGGATTGAGCCTGTCCCGCGTGGGACATTTAATTTTGATTTAAAAATCGGGACGTCTGGCAACGCTGGTCTCAAATTACTGTATCTTGATCTAAAAGTAGCTGTTCGTTATTTTGTCATATCTTATTTATCATATGTTCATCTACTGTTAAATAAATACAGTTACAGTGACACAAAAGTATAAAGTTACACAGTGAGGCGAGGTACTTCTTAATAATATTTAACTACCTATAATATGTAGATGCATCGTTCAATCAATCATTCTCATTGTAATATAGCTCACTATGTTATTAAAATCTTTAAGTACCTACACTCTCTGGAATATTCGGCAGGTTTACCGAATATTCGGTTGAATACGAATGTTCGGTAAACCTGCCGAAAACCGAACGTGAAACGAATATTCGGCCCATCTTTAGTGTCTAACGTTATATAGATAATGGTACGAAACCCTTCGTGCGCGATTTGGGCTTACATAAATACCTAGTACGGAACCCTAATAGAGCGAGGCCAGACTGACCATTTTTATAATTGTGTAAACAAGAAGTTTAAGTACACAGTCTGGTCATAAGTATTGTCACACAGTAAAAACTTTGCTTTTAGAATGCTGGCCACAAAAAAGTTTATTGAATTCGAATTTCGAATAGTTCATGAAAATAAAAATGTATACTTTTTAGAATTTTACTCATTTTTAAATATGGAGTGGACGCTTAAAGAAGACCGGACCGTGTTGCAGTTATTGCGTTTTATTTATTGCGTTTATCGTTGCGGTTACGCGCCAATTAAAATGTTTGACATTCTGAAAAATTTGAATACCTATAACCAAAAGATTCGTTTATCGTACCGTCAAACGATACAATGAAGACTTTAGTGTAGATGACAGGTCAAGAAGTGGTCGCCCTCGGTCTGTTAGGACTCCAGCAGTGATATAAGCTGTGAAGGCGCGAATTCAAAGAAATCCCAAACGTAAGCAGAAACTGTTGGCCCTTCAGATGGGGTTAAGCAGAACCACGGTGAAAAGGGTGTTAAATGAAGACTTAGTGCTTCGGGCATATCGAAAAAAACAGGACATCGTTTGAATGCTCGTCTAATGGACCTGAGTCTGAAGAGATGCCGCGCTTTGTTGAAGTGGTACGCGGGAAAAAAATATCGGGAAATTCTTTTTTCGGATGAAAAAATTTTTGAACCCTCAAATTATGTGATCAGCAGCATCATATCAGCCGTACGATGTCCACTGCTGAGCATAGGCCTCCCCCAAAGATCTCCACACCGATCGGCTCTGCGCCATTCGCATCCATCGGCTTCCCGCGACCTTCACAAGATCACCAGTCCACTGAGCGTCGTCCGGTGCATGGTCGCCATTCAAGAACCTTTCCGCGTAACAAGGGTGGTAATAAATCGACATTTATGTTGTGGGGGGCCCCCTGCCTTGTGGGCCCCTGGGCCACAGCCCCGCCTACCCTGCCTTAAATCGGCTGTGCAACCCTGAATGCACTGTGAGACCTCTATGATAGCATTGACTTGTTCGGTCTGCTTGTCCCTGGGCTGTTGTATAAAATAGTAAGATTAACTTACGTAATTTAAGAGACTAATTTTGTTTTAAGTAAAAAGATAGGTTTTTCCAACCTAAGACCGCGCTGCAATAAATTATTATTATAACATTACATTATTATTATATGTTACAGATGGACGAATGTAATTTGTACCTGGTAAATATAACCCAAAAAGACAAACTGCCATGTCCACCCGAATATTTACCACTTTTATGGTACTTTTTCAAACCTCACATGTTTTCTATGTCAACGAAAGTTATACCAATGTTAGAGTAAGTAGGTACTTAAGATTTTTTTTGCGATCCTTTTACCTTGCGTTTTTTGTTATATTTTTAATACTTTAACGTTTTTAGACAATGGATTCCTGGTTGTGGAGTCTGGCTAATATCCGGCCAGGATCCTCCAGACACAAATAAAAATATATCGCCAGGGGAGGAAGACGCCGAACTCCCACACATGACTATATTTACGGAATTCAGAGACTTGACTTTAAGACAAAAACTGACAGTTTTCAAAAGGTATTTATTTACTTCTTACTTTTAATATTCTTTTATTACACACGTACTTAATTATGGTGGTGAACTGTACCTACCTTCGTTATCAGAGTTGTAAACTATGGCGTGAACACATCATTATTATTTACATTACCACCCCACTTGTCATTAGACTTAATAATAGTTACTTAAAATATATACCATCCATCGAGCTCCTCTTAATTATTTTCACGATACAATAATTAGTATATGAATTGTGAATTTCCAGATTTGTGTCGTGGCCGGAGTTCGAGCAATCGCCCTTTAAAGTAACCATGGAAAACAACTTGCCCAAGTTCATTATACCCCTAGAAGATGACGACAAAGATAGTATTGGCTCTCATATCGAAGATATGGAGCATTCCGATTCAGACGTTGACACATAAGGAAAAATGTTATTTGTATTTTTACAATAAACCTATCTTAAAGTAATAAGTCTTTCATGACACCGTAACTTGGGTCCGAAACTAGGACCGACTGCGTGCATTTCAGATTTTATAACAGGGGAATCTTTCACCTTGGATACTCTTTTAGTATTGCAAACTTCATTTAAATCCGTTTATACGTTGTAAGGTGATTAATTAACAAACATTCAAAACTTCAATAATATCAGACTGCCAGTTGGAAATTGCAAAATGCGGCTGAGTGACCGGTGCAGGAGTATTGTCTGTTTGTTATCTCACCGAGCCACAGAGCTGGGTGAAATGAGTAGGGAGGAGTCCGCAGATACCTTCGTTTGACTCCCCCGGTTGGCGAAGGATGCGTAATGCATTTTCTAGACACCAAAAATAAGGGTATTATTTTGGGATTGCAAGTGTCTAAAGGCTTACGGTGGTCGCTTACCATCAGGCAGGTCATACGCTTGTTTGCCACCCTTTTAACATAAAAAAGAAAACCATTATTAGGTTCAAAGGATTTGAAGATACATTCAGGTAGGAGAAAAAAATACTGGCAAGTTCAAATAAATATAATATTACTATAATAAAGATTTTGATACAACCTATAATTTATTCATCTCCAGTCTGTATTAGGTATCAGAAACCAGACCAATTAATTACAACATAAACAATTTGGAATATTTATATTTATACAACTTTCTACACATTACAATTGTATAGGTACATACTAGTGATGTAACGAATATTCGCATCCGCATTCGCGAATATTCGCATATTTTTGAATATTCGCATTCACATTCGCATTCGCAAAATCTCTGCGAATGTTTTGCGAATATGAATATTAGAAAAAAACAATTTGAAGAAGTAGTAGTTCTGCCTTTCCTTGAATATTCATTGTTACACAGCTTCATTTAGCTCGTTCAGCATCGCAAATTGTGAAATAAGTTCATGTTTCACTAGAATTCGATTTACTCATGTTATAATAAATCACTATTCAAACTCTAACATCAAAATTTACTTGTTTTGTTTACGGAAAGACCGGTGCGAGTGGAATGACACTTCAGTCGGACGAGTTCATATCAACTCGGCAATTCGAACGGGACTGCCACCATGTCATAAACAATTGGCGCCAATTTAAAAAAAACTAAATATTCGTAAAAAAAACTAATGTCGGTACCAGACATTCGCATTCGCGAATGTTCAAAAAATTACATTCGTTACATCACTAGTACAAACCTACAATAAGTTTATAACATTTTCATAAAACTGATTAAATTAATATTGCTTAAGTAAAAACTTAAGTAGGTTTTTAAAACATTTTGTTTGACTTATAATTTAACATCTTTGTTTGTGATGTTGCTATTATATACTAAATCTAATATTTAATTTATATTTTTTTAACTAAAGAGGCTATTTCTTAGAATTAATAAATCATGTTACTTTAAATAATAAAAGCAATCATAGGTAGTAATACTAATCCAACTTCAAAATACCTGATATGGAATACTGTGTTTGTTTAGTGCGGTTTTAAAATATTTAAAGCTGATAAAATAACAAAAATAATGTTTTATTAAACCTATGTATTTAAAAAAAACTGTGTGCTGTTTGTATCTGTTTTTAACTCAATCGTATTTATTGAAGGTCTTGTTTTAATATGGACTTATCAAGTTAATTGCAAATTAACTGTCTCTACGCAGCAACCCTTTTGGGAATCAGGTCACCCATTAATAATATTTTGATTTTAGAATCTTTGTAAATAGTTATTTATGATATTAGTACCGCACAAATATCATAAATAACTTTTTACAAATTTGGTAATTATAAACGAGTAAATGAATGTAAGCCCAAGACGAAGTCTAGGTTTTACCATAGCCACGAGTTTATAAATACCAATTCCGCACGAATGTCATACAACGTTTATCAACAACACATTTGCGAGAAAACAGTATAATAAATTTAAGTGATGAAAACTTTATCTAAGAAAAAAATGGCGAGCATTTCCACGTGATGTGCAAGCGATGAAAATAGAACTACATATTTTGCCTCTTTTTCCTTTTTAGTATTGAAGTGAGGCAAACGTATCAAAAGCGCTTCCGAGGAGGTTCTACCGAAATAAAGAAACCGTAAAGGATATACACGTCGAGCATGTATGGGAGTGTGCGGTAAATAATTTTACCGAATGCACCGTTGTATGGCCCGTAATTCAAAATTTTCGAACAATGTATACAACCTCCGTAATTGCATTTTTGAGCAAATTGAGAAAAAAATATTCAGGTCAAACATTGACGCATAAAAATCGCCTAACAAAGAGTATCAAAAAACATCCAAGCGGCGCTGACTACTACTGATAAATCATTACCACATTTGTTCAAATTATCACGTAGCAGCAGATTCGTGTAGCAGTAAGATTCAATGTCAATTGTATACGAGAGAAACAGTTTGATTAAGGTGCGATAGAACATACAAAACATGTGACGCACTGGAAAAGATATTTTGTAGTAGCTATTATAATGTAATTAATCAGCAATACGATAGAAAACGCCAAGATAGTCGCGTAATTTTGTTAATTTAAAGGGACACTTATACTTACACTTCACGTTTTTAAGTGTGCAGTTTTTAACCGATTACAACGTCAGTGTGTGGCGTTGTACACAAAACGCGATCGAAACAAGACTGAAAATTACGCACAATAAACGCGTGTGCGTAATACTGCTATGGACACTTTTTGAGAGATTGTGATGTTTTTATACGTCAATGAAGCCAAAAGACAGTGTTGGCTTTTAAGTAACATCACAAATTTTACAAAGATTTCTCAAACGTTTGATTGGTTTATGTAATATATTGACGATTACGGGCTGGTAGAACATTTCCATGTGTTTCAAAAGAGCATACATTACATAAGCAATTAATTCAACAAACCTTCCAGAGAGGAATAAGTATAAATAATTAAACAATTTAAAGTAGAGTCCATGTCAGTGCACCTTTATTGCCTAGCAATAAGACCAATATTCCTAATGAAAACTCATCACCTTTCATGGTCCAACGAACTTTATATAAGCATAGGTACCTATTTAACGCTAGCTCACAGTCTGAAAGATGGATGGCAAAATAATTGAGATATACTTTACATTGCTGTAGAAAAATGACACAAGATTGTGAATTTGTAAGATATCGTCTAAAAACTCTGCCATAAGGTCTAGATGAACTTACACAACAATAGAAAATTAATTAGAAACGAACAGTCCGGAATTTTAATAAGTCTGCCCTGCGTAACCCTGTCTCGCTTGTTGTTAGCTACCGAATGAAATTCCCACTAGAAAATGTTAGTATTCAATAATTGACGTTGAGAGATTCTTCTTATGGGTAGGAATTTTTCAGAATTTATAAATTGAATTAATAAAGAACCTTACAATAACTTAGAAGTACATAAGCTCTGTTCAACGATAGATTAATTAAGCTAGTACCTATTTGAGAGTAATAAATAGGTACACAATACATCCCCAAGATACCGTAAAATGTCAAATTTTGCTCAATCGATTGCACATTATAGGTCAAGCAAAATGAAACTCCAATCAAGCAGGATAATACTCAAAGTCAAATGGACAATTTTAACAGTATTTGGTGACTTGAGCTGTGACTATAATAAAGGTTGTAAATAAAATTTCAAATAACTCTTAAAGAACACATTAGAGTAAAACCAACGAAGTAACACACCTATGTTGTATTTTAACATTCTATATAAAACAAAGGACACGTTATATTTTTGTATGGAGTCTGGGCTATGGCAGTAAACCGAAACGAAATTAAATTTTTATGAGTGTCAAATATATATATATGGGTCAATCAACTATTCCTTGCTCGATGTTACCCTTTTCGTGTCCCATAAGCATAATACAAAATCTATCAAAAAATATGCGCTAAAGTCATAATTTATGTATTCCTAGAAACATTTACGACATATTTTACATTTATTTAAAGAAATATTGAGTTTTGGTTCAAAATAAACAGTCTTTTATGGTTGTCCTAAAGACAAATCGGTCATTTCGTGATATCACGGAATGTCCTCCGGAAACAGGTCATCAAAACTATTTCCATTACGAAAAAAAACTCTATGAAACAATTCTCAGTAATTGAAAAAAATCACTTTCAAGTATGTACTCTGTTAATAAAACATATTGGTATTTATTAAAGTTAATAAAAATTACCAAACTATTTTATTTTACTTGTGTCCCCAAAAATGTTTGCTTAGCTAACGTCACCTGGACCACCGCTAATTTAGTATGCGAAAAAAACATAGATGGCGGCTGAGTACGTTAGCAACAAGGCCGTCTCTCTAAGAAGATGTCGCGTCCTACCGCCATTTTTATTTCAACAAAGGCGTGGCGTCAGTCGGGCGAGTTCCGTAAGTGAAAGTGCGTGTTCTTATTGTCGTTCCAGCGGACAACCGTCAGAATTCCATAAGTACTCAATATTTAACAATTAACTATATTGTACTAGATGTTGTGTCAGCTAGATTTTACTGTGAGAGTAAGAAAAGAGGCAATAAAACGTTATTATTTAATAGGAAGCCAAAAGTTTATAAAACGTCTTACGGACAACCAGTCACTTGGACAACGAAATTGGTGGTCCGTAGGACATTTTGGTTGTCCTTAGGACAAATAATATTATTTTGATAATAAACATCTATAAATTAAATATTTATTCGTGCATTGGTTGGGACTATTGCTTCTACACCAAGAGGTCAGTGGGTCTGAATCCCGCACAGTCACTTTTGTGTTAATGAACATGTATCTAAGTTCATCAGATGTTCAGTACCCATAGTATAGTACAAGCTTCGGCTTAGTTTGAGACTAGATGCCTCAGTGTGGCCTTGAATGCCATGTGCTGAAAAATTTTTTTGAAAATGGGATTGTCGGAGAAAGAAAAATCGAGACGATACAGAGAGAGGCTTAGAGCGTGCCCATAAAAATTAGCTGAAAGGAAGAGAAAGAACTGAGAAAGCTATCATAAACGCAAAAAGT